GTTTTTTGCTGCAGATATTAAATTTAATATTCTTCTGAAAGCAAAAATGGATCTAAACGTTGAACTACGCAAGGCTCTGAAGCGTTAGAAGCATCTCTTAGAAGAATCTGAGCGCTGCCTACAGAAGACTCTGATCATTGCCTACAGAAGGATCTGAAGCAGAAGCTATAGAAGCATCTGAAGCATAAACTGAAGACTTTGTATGAAGAGTTTCAAGCACTGTTTATCAGAAGACTCTGATAGTACTGTTCGCTGCAAGTACTGAGGATCTGATCTCCAAACTCTGCTTTGATTAATTACACGCTGAAGCACACTTGCTGCAATACTCTAATACAGAAAACTCTGAAGATATCAAGACTCTGATCACTCAAAGCTCTGATGTTAATTGTTGTGCATTAGAAACTTGTTGAAGAAGATTATTTGAAGTTATATCCGTTGGTTATGCCAAACGACTCTTTCCTCTTCTATGCTAGACACAAGAACTCAGGCAAAAAGGATTTCTCTGAACGTTCTACTTCTAGGAAAGGTCAAGTGATGTGAAGACAAAAAGGTTACAGCTACTTTGTAGTACACAGTCTTCAAAGCATGCAACGTCTTGGACTTCTAAGTCTATAAAAGCAAGACTTCAACATCTTTCTCAAGTTGACGATTATTGAAAGAAATTCATTGAAAAGCTCTTATAAAAATTATTACTCTTTGTTGAATTTATTTCATACGTTCATAAACTTAAGTGTAAATCACAGTTGTGATATAGCTTTTTTAGAAGCATTTCAAACACTTGTTTAGTTTACATTTGATTGTAAAAGTTCCTTGAGAAGACCAAGTTGTGGTTAGTAGTTCTTGAGAAGACTAAGAACAGTTGTTCTTAGTGGTTGATATTATAATCAGTTGATTATAGTGGATTAAGTCCTTGAGGAGAAAGGCAAATCACTCTTGATAGGGTGGACTGGAGTAGTTGAGTTCAACGAACCAGGATAAAAATCTTTGTGTTCTTATTGCCATAATATTTTCTAAATCCTTATTCAACCCCCCTTCTAAGTATTTTCTCACCTTCATACAATTCTAAGTTAAGGGGAGAACTTTTCATGTGTGGGTGCTTAGGAAAAGAGGATAAAGAGGGTTCCTTACCCTCCTCCTCCTTTGGAGTTTTTCCATTTTCCCAATTGTTGAACGGTTTAGAGCTTAATATGAGTTTTCATATAACTCTTTCATGATCTCTATATTTGATGTCAATTTTCGTGTACTGATTTCATGTCAATTTTGTGTGAATTTATCTAATTAAATTCTGGAATTTGGTATTCTTATGAGTTGTGTTGCAATTATGAAAGTGATGTTGATTTGGAATCAAATCGATGTAATATATGATAGTTTGTGCCTATTTGATTGTTTTTAATATTGTATTAACATGTATGATTGAATTGTGTGTGTTTGGGATGGATTGGGGTCAAAATCGGAGCTTTGATAAGGCTTCAATGGTGGAAATTTGTGTTTTCTAGGTTCTGGTATGAGCGATATCGCCCATCGAGGATGAACTTTGTAGAGCGAGATATGTAGAGTGAGGAATTCTAGTTTATTAGACGTGTTCCCAACGAGATAAGAGTTTGCCTTGTGAAACGCTCATCCAACGAGATAAGAGTTTGCCTTGTGAGACGCTCGCCCAGAGTAAGCTGTAGGTCGCCCAACAATGGTGACATCACAAAATTGAGTTGCTTTCGAGTTAATTTTGTGGCAGGGTGCTATTTTGATGATTAATCGGTATTGTCGTGTACTGTTTGATATTATGTGTTTCTATTTGATGTGAATCGATGCATTTTATTAAATTGATAATTATTATGCATGAAATGGTTGAGTTTATGTTGAGTTGTGATCAGTTGATTGATAATGAGAATTGTTCGATTTCAAGGTAAGTGTCCACGAAAGAGTAATGGTTGAGATGTGATGAGTCTGATTCAAAGAGGGGAGAGTGACAAACATTGATAGAGTTAAGTTGCATTAAATGCATTCATGAGTTGTAGAGTTGCCCAGTTCAGAGAGGGGGCCTTAGGGCGGTCGGGTTCAAAGAAGGGACTGTGGCGGGATGTAAATCAGTAATAAACCTCTGATAATCCAAAATTCTTTGTACCACATGTATATTGAGTTGAATTGGAAGTCTAGTTCAGAGAGGAGACCGTGACGAGCATTTACCGAGTTAATGAATCGAGCACTACATAAATATCTACATTGAGTTTAAGTTAACTACTTATATGAGTTGATGTGAATGAATAATTGATTGTGAGTTGATTGGGGCATTTTATATGAGTTTATGTTATAATGTTTATCAATTATGTGAAACTAATAACATGCTATTTATTTATCCTTGTTGTTTATAAAATTAAATCTACCAACATACGTGGGCAAATAAGATTTGTTTTTGTTTCCTGTATTAAAAATAGTGTTATAGATTATGGGTTTTCTTGCTTGTAGGAATTCTCTTTCGGAAAAATATAGAAAGTTGAATCAGCCGACATAGGCTCACACGCCAGCACATCGATATCTATTACGGCCGATCCATAAACCTCCACGTGGTCTTAACTCATCTCTACTCCAATAATGATTCGAACAAAACAAAACATTAACTATATAATTTTCATGGCCGACATAACTAATTTCAATTACATAAAATTAAACTAAAACTAAAACTACACTTTATTGTTATTTTAGTGTTTGATGTCTAGAGATGACACTATGTGCAGAGCACTATAATATTTATTTTTATATTGAAATTTAAAAAAAAATCCTCACATTTTAACTCGTATCCACGTATGTGTTAATATTTGTAATCGTACGCATACTATATGAATTCTTAAGTATTCATATCCGTATATATTATTTGTATTTATAATAAAAATAAAATGATCAATTGTAAAATATTAAATATTTAAAAATTTTTAACAGTATTTAAAAAGATTTAATATTTTTTTGTTAATTATAAAATAAATAAATATTTATATAAAAATAGTAATACTTTATAATAGTATTTTTAAAAATATATTATAGATATGTATTTTTATACAATAATATAAATAATAATATATAAATATATATCGACTATGACGCGGATTTGATATTAAGGTATATTTACCGCATTCATATTTGCTATTTTAGTGAGTATTTATTTGTGTCTATATCCGAACTCATTTGCGAGATTTTATCCTATCCGTTCTAGATATGTTTTTGCAAGTATCTAGTGGATATGAATCTAATTGTCATAATCTTTCCTTTTACTTTTTATGAATAAAATTATTTTTTCATTAAAATAAATATAAAAAAATTATAAAAATCTCGGTATCTTTTACACACAACTATAAAAATCGAAATTGATAAGTAGTAATATTCATTGAAATCAAAACTTAAAATAAATCATTATATTTGGTTTAAACATTTTTTTAATTTAAACAAAAGTAATCAAACTAATAAAATTTAATATTATTTAATTTGAAAACGAATTTTTCAAAATTTTATATTCCGTCTATTCAAATTAATCATAATTAATTAATATAATATATATCATAAATAATCATATATCATGAATAATCAAAATGAAAAAAATGATATTATTTGTGATATTCACAACTAATATAAAGAAATAGAAAATAATTAAAAAATTTATATTATTTTTAAAAATTAATTGAGGTAGATTAAATATTTTTTAAGAATATTTTTATATATTTATTTCTTATGTATTTAATCATTTGTTTATCGGTTTGTTTTAATTTATCAAAAAATATATACAAATTCAATTCAAATCAACTCATATATTTTGCAATATTTTAAAAATTGAATCGAATCGGTCGATTCAATTGGTTGGACCGGAAACCGGAGATGAATCTGGTTGAGTCAACCTTTCAAAATCGGAATAAAATCAAAGAAATTAGGTTGAACCGTCCAAACCATTTAAACCAAAGAACTGGAGTCGATTTTACAAATCCGTCTGATTTTAAAAAAATTGTATCAAATTGACCATTTTTTTAATTTAAAAAAAATTTAATATGTTAATATTAAAACAACATACACTTTCCATTCACAAAAAGAATTCTGTGTAATTTTTACAACCATAAAAACTTTTAAATTTTGTCACTTTATTATAGTTTTTTTTTCAATCACACTCCAACTCAATTTTAATTGTCGTTCAAATTAATATTGTTTGTTGTTGTCAATTAAGATTTGTTTGTCGTAGTACAACTCAAATTCGATTTTTGTTTTGTTTTAATAAAGTATATTGTATTATTTATATTTTGGATTCAATCTTATTTAATTTAGGTATTCCTAATTATTTTAAACTTTATTTTAGTTATTATATTCTATTATTTTAATTTTATTTTGAATTAGTTTAATTTATTTTATTGTAATTTTTTAGTTTGGTCTAAGAAAATTTAGATGATAGTTGAAATGAAGTGTAGAATCATGTTATGTTATATATTATTGTTGTATTAAATTTATAATAGTTTTTAAAATATTTATTTTATTAACTTGTGAACATATAATTATGTGTCACATATTTATAAAATTTAATTTCATATAATTAATTAATTTAATAAATAGTTTGACTATAAATTTAACCGATTAAATTTGTTTGATTTTTAAAACATTAATATTTTGATAGTTTTGAGCATTGAACTCTCTCAAAAACTAAACTAATTTGTGTTGATTTAACATTTGTTGCGTGTTAAAAAATAAATTTTAATTTAAAATCTTAGAGTATCTCTTATCATAAAATTCAATTAATTATCTAACATAATTGTGTTTAATTAATTTAAGAATAAAATAGAAAATCGTTTTCAATGGGCAATCACGACTTACACAACCCATCAAAATTCGCATAAATAAAGAACGGAACCAATCAAATATAAACAGATCATAGTGCGCACATGACAGCACTAATCTTTGTGTCTTCTCTTGCTAGATAGTTTCATCATTGTTCTTTTTCTTCTTTCTTCTAACTAACTTGTGATCAGGAAAAAATGTGGAACAAGATGAATTTTCAAGATGAAGCAGCTCAGTTGATCAATTCAGATTTCAGGGACTTGGGTGAAGCAGCTCATAAACTCGCTAATCATGTTCTTAAACTCGGTGGTTTGGGATTTGGAGCTTCTTTCTTTGGATTCTTTGCTGCTGTTGCTGCTATGTATGTTGTTTTTTATTTATTTATTTATTTATTTATTTGTTACTGTGATTTATGGTTGTTTTTGAATTTTGTTATATGGATTGTGTAGTTTGCTTGTCAAACATTGTGGGTTGTTATATGGATTGTATCTCTATACTGTTGTTTGGGTGTGTGATTTTAGGATATTTGTTGCTTCTACTAGACCATCCTTAATTTCAGAGTGTGATTTTTCTGTGTTATTTGTGGTTATAACTTATTTTCAGTTTATTTTGGTATTCTACAAAACAATTTCTGATATCATGTTCGAAAATGGACCGCAATTTGTGGCAGTCGCCTGTCCCTACACTCACACCTACAATTTCTGGACACCATGATTATGATCAAGTGGCTTCTAGTACTTTAACGGCGTGAATGCTGTCAAAATTTTAACTGCAGAGGATTCTTTTTCTTCGGAAAAAATAGCTTCCAAGTAATATTCTATGAAGTGCATACACTTAAATAGACTTCTCAGGAAATCCAACACGTTTAAGGGTGTGAGATTTGTATCAGTTTGATACTTGTCCAACTTGTGTCGAAGAAGTCATGTGTCTCTGTGAGAGTCTGATACTTGTATCAATATCGAAAAAAGTCACGTTCTCACACGTGTCAAAGTCTGATACTTGTATCATTGTATGATACTTGTCCGACTTGTGTCGAAAAAAGTCATGTGTCTCACACATGTCAGAGTCCGATACTTGTATCAGTTGTATGATACTTGTACAACTGTGTCAAAAAAGTCAAGTGTCTCACACACGTGTCACAGTCTGACACATGTATTAGTTGTATGATAATTGTACGACACCAATCGAAAATCATGCCACGGTCTGACATTTGTATTAGCGGTATGATACTTGTATAACAGTTGTCAAATCACGTGTCTCACACGTGTCACGATCCGACACTTGTATGATACTTGTGCTCAACACTTGTATCTCAACACGTATTAGAAAAGTCAAACAAATCTCAGAAAAGTGAGATAAATATCCTAAAGAAATATTTCTTTAATTTAACACTCTTTAAATTGGTTTCCAAAACTCTGAATATTCTTTAAATGGAATGAGTTCCTAGTTGAAGATAGACATATTTAGATCCATTTCCTAGACAAAATAATATTATTGCTATGGTAGGAGCCCCACCTATCCTCGTGAAGAAGTCGGTAGTTATCATGTTGTTTTTTAGTGGTTAGTGTTGCACTGTTGTCACTATTTTTATCCACAAAGAAAAACACAAAGAAAAAGACTGTCATTTTGTAAAGTAAGCTAGACCTACCATTCAACTACCAACAGTTATTCGAAACAGAAATTTATCACCATGTTTTTATTCTTGTTTTGTAAGAGTGAATAAAAACAAATTAATATAAAACAGTGTCAGTTTTGTAATAAAAATTACATTAATTGATGTTTTAATTTTGTTAATCAATGTCAAAGTTTCACCATGTTTGTTAACATGTTCTCTGCAGTTACTTGTTGGTTTTGGATCGCACAAACTGGAAGACCAACATTCTTACATCACTACTCATTCCATACATTTTCTTCAGTTTGCCGCAACTAGTTTTCGGTGTCTTCAGGTGATTGATTCATTTCCCTCCCTGTCTGTCACAGTTTCAGGTTATCAAATTCATTTCTGTCTAATACCATTTTCATCACTACTCAGGGGAGAGATTGGAAAATGGATTGCTTTAGTTACTGTTGTGTTAAGGCTTTTCATTCCAAAACATTACCCTGGTATGTTACAATTTTGCTTATTATAGTGTCTGTGAACATTTTTTTTAAGTTTTCACCTCCAGTATCCAGTTCACTGGACCAACTAATCCGGTTTGAGGGCAGTTCTGGCACCAATTGTCTGTGAAATATTGAATATGCATAATAATAATAACTTACTCTTGATGATTGTTACTGCAGATTGGTTGGATTTACCAGGTGCTTTGGTACTTCTGGTTGTTGTAGCTCCAAATGTAATTGCAACCACTTTTAGAGAAGACATTGTGGGAGTGATTGTGTGTCTTGTCATTGCATGTTATTTACTACAGGAACATATTCGTGCGTCTGGTGGTTTCAGAAACTCCTTCACCAGAGCAAATGGTGTGTCGAATTCTGTTGGCATAATACTTCTGTTAGTTTATCCCATCTGGGCGCTTATTGTTATCATTCTTTAGGTAGCGCGTTTGAATTTGATTGTTAAGTTTGAGAGATTTAAACCTGTTGTCTTGTGTAATCATTCATTTGTTGGATGTTGATGACAAGTACTGTCATTGTTTGATGTAATTTAGCACCTTTGTTGTTTCGTTTGCATATTTAAAATATGAAATCAAGTCATTGAGAGACGTTTTGGCTTCATTATAGAAATAAGAATGATGAATGTTTAAAATATGAAATCAAGTCTCATTGAGACACTTTTTGGTTTCATTATAGAAGCAAGAATGATGTCTTAAAGTGTCTTAAGTTTTCGAGCTTCTGTGTAAATTTATTATAGTTTAACTGTTTTGTGTCTATATAAATTTATCATGGTTAAAGTTTTCTGTAAATTTATTATAGTTTAAGTGTTGTGTCTGTATAAATTTATATGGTTTAACCGTGCAATAATCTCTTTTGCATGCCATCAAAGATGACCCTAAGTCCTTTATCTTTAATTTGAGTGGACCATGGGTAACTTTGATAATTTTCTCTCTCTCTAAATTAATCTCTCTCTCAATAGTCACCATAAAGCTACAAAATTACTTCATATAAACAAATAGGAGTGAACATTTGTTGCAATTGCAAGGTACACAAAATATGTAGCTTTTTGAATTTTTTAGTTAATTTTATGATATAGTCTTTTTAAGAATGGCTGAATGAGTATATTATGCAGTTCATATTTCAATACACTACATATTTTGCTTATAGCTTTTTCACTTCACATAATACAAATTAAAATGGATTCTGAAAAACACCATGATATTAGTATAATTTCAAATAGGATTCCTGTCACCTTCCTCAGACCATTGCTCCCTTTGCTTCCTTGTATAGTTGATCAATGCAATCCTGAAATTGTTCAGGAGAAGTAACATTTAACGTAGCAAGTAACAAAATAAAAAGCATATATATTTTGTTGAAATTTATGAATCATCAGACAAACCTTATAGTGCTTTAGTAATTGCGGTCTCTTCAATTTGAATGTAGGAGTTACCAGATCTCTCTCCACATCAAAGGGAATCGGTTCCAGAAAAACAGCTTTTATCAGCTCAAAACCTCGAAACTGAGAATATCAATCATATAAAAAATGCAGCATAACATGACACCAGAAATTAAGCACATGTTGAACATTATATATACACACATACTTGATGTTTCTGACCAATGCTATTGAGTTCATCCAAAATGAATTTTCGTGCCTCAGGATTTCCACATAATGATTTAAAATCATCAGACAAATCATGCTTCACTGCCCAATTCTCAAGGGCTTGTCTTTCCGGAACCACAACAGCCACCAAGAAAGATTCGAAACTATTTCCGTAGACCCAAACCTGTGCGTGAAATAAAAATTTATACATCGATGAGTTCTAATTAAGTCAACTTTTTCTAGGATTATTAGAGAAGAATCATACCGAAGTTATAAGAGGACACTGCAAATACTTGTTTTCGATATTCTCGACAGCAACGTATTCTCCTTGTGACAATTTGAAGATATTCTTTTTTCTGTCAATAATTTTCATGGCTCCGTTTGGAAGCCATTCTCCAATGTCACCTATATTGATTTTTCAAAGCATTTTGAAACACACGGCATTTAGAGGCATACTACAACTTTAATACAAGAATGCAGAAATATAGAAGTTCATGACGAACACATCGTCATGAGGACATACCTGTATGAAACCAACCATCAACCATAACCTCTTCGGTAAGATCTTGACGTTTGTGGTAACCGGCAAACAAGGTATTCCCTCTCAAGCAAATTTCTCCACGGGGTTGACCGGAAAGTGCGTCATATCCCATCTCAGGCATGGACTCAAGCCTGGCTTCAATAGTTGGCATGGGAATTCCGACCGTTCCCACCATAGAAAACACATTGGATATTGAAGTGAAACACCCCGCGCAGCTTTCAGTAAGACCTGTAAGATCAAACAGTAAAACCAAATCAAGAAATACCGAAATCATCATGCCACACGAGATATATATAGCTAGAATGAACTACTTATAAACAATCCACCGATTTTCTAATCAAAGATTCAAATGCTATAGTGTACCGTATCCCTGTGCCAAAGTAGATCCACAAGTGACCCTCAGAAACTCTTCAACATGTTTAGACAAAGGCGCAGCTCCTGATAACAGGATTCGAACTCGTCCACCCAATGTTTGTTTAATCTATCAATAAAACCAATGTTTCAAGTTTGAAACAAAACTTTTTGAATTAAAGTCATAGTATAAAATGGAATACCTTGTCGAACACAAGCCTATCAAACCAAGGTGCTGCTTTGTCTTGTGGAAGACCACTATTTAGATATCCCAATTTGCTGTCAATTGAATTTTGATCAGTACACAATAGGATAGAAATTGGATATTAGAAAAGTAGAATTCCGTAACGGTAATAAGCTCAGTCGGAAAACATACTAGTTATATGCATACTGAAACAATGTCTTTTTCAGTGATCCTTCGGATGAAATTTTGCAATTGATACCTTCAAGCACAAGTTATGGTTATAATTCATTTTCAAATGACAATGTAATCACACAATCACATTTAGGGTAAACTCAATGCTCAGAACATTATTAAAATAAGGAATACACAAAGATTGTGGCGAAATAAACATTCTCGCCTTACCAGCATAAACACGGTCATAAACTCGAGGAACGCCACAAAATATAGTTGGTTTCAGTGTCTGAATATCATCCATTAAGAATCTGATATCCTACAAGAATCAACATGAAAAATTCAATGAAGAAAATATTTTGAGAAGAAGCCAGATATTACTAATAAGAACGGAATGTGAATTCCAAGCTTACGCCTTGCCAAAATCCAACTGATGAGCCCTTGTGGATGCAATAGGTCACCATTATCTGGTCATATACATGAGCAAGAGGAAGAAAAGAAAAGTACACATCATCTTCAGCTGCCTGTAAATAGTACATAGTGTTAGAACACAGATTGGTGTTTAATATATCTCATTGTTTTGATGATAACATAAATGAAATTTTGCATAAAGAAAATATATACTCTAATTGTGTTTAAGTAATTTTGTTTCAGATCTTAAATTATATATTCATCTAGAAGCAAAAATTACATCTGCAACTGAAAAGAACGTTAAGACTCTGAGCGGCAGAAGCAACATTTCAGAAGACTCTGAGCGCTGCTTGAAGAGACTCTGATCTGCTACAGATGACTCTGAGTGAAGCTAAGAAGAATTTGAGTAAAGAGCGTACAACATTGTTTCAGAAGACTCTGGAAGTACTTCACGCTGCAAGTACAGAGGCTCTGATATTCAACTCTGCGCTGATTGTAACATTCACGCTTCAACACTATTGCTGCAAGACTCTGATCTGAAGAATAAGGAACTACATCAGAGGATCTGATGTTAGTATTATTTGAAGGATATATTTATTCTGTGAAAAGATGTCAGCTCAAAGAAAAGATCTGTTGCTAATCCCAACGTCTGCTCCAACGACACTATTCCTCATTTATGCATGACACAAGAATTCAGACACAAAGCACATATCTGAACATTCCTCTTTCTGGAAAGAAAAAGTCAATAGAGGACAAAAAGCCAACAGAGGCAGCAGAACGTACAGTAATGCACAGTCTTTGAGATAAGGACTTGAAGTAGTATTTAAACAAGCTTCAGCATCTCTCTAACATTGACGACGCACATAGACGAACATTGAAAAATCATTTGAAAGTAAAATCAATTCACAACCTCTCATTCAGATATTCTTCAAAACTTAACAGTTTTCATATTTGTTCTTAATCTTGTGTAAACATCACTGTTGTGATATAGCTTGTTAGAAGGAAAACATTAAACACAAATTGTTAGTTTATCTTTGTAAAAGATTTCCTTGAGAAGACCAAGTTGTGGTCAGATTTTCTTGAGAAGACTAAGACAGTTGTCTTAATGGTTTACACTGTAATCAAGTTTGATATAGTGGATTAAGTCCTTGTTGAGAAAGGCAAATCACCTTGGTAGGGTGGACTGAATTAGTTTGAGTTCCAACGAACCAGGATAAAAATACTGTGTTGTTTTTTCTATCTCCTAAGTTGTTTTTAAAACCCTTATTCAACCCCCCCTTCTAAGTGTTTTTCTCACCTTCAGTTGGTATCAGAGTCTGGTTCTGTTAGTGCTCTCACTTAACCGTGACAGAAAAAGATCCAGTTAAGAAAAACTCCTAATATCTTGTTCTTTATTCATCGTGGCTGCTGAAGCTTCAACTTCAACTTCATACAACAACAGATACGATGATAAAGACAAAATCAGCACCAAACCTCCCATGTTTGATAGTGAGAAGTTTGATTACTAGAAAGATAGAATAGAAAGCTTCTTTCTAGGCTATGATGTTGATTTGTGGGATTTGGTAACTGATGGTTACATTCATCCTACCAATGATGAAGGGAAAAAGGTTGACAGAAAATCTATGTCTGATCAACAGAAGAAGGAGTTTAGAAACCACCACAAAGCAAGAATCATCCTGTTAAATGCAATATCTCATACTGAGTATGAGAAAATAACAAACAGAGATACTGCATTTGATATGTTTGAATCTTTGAAGATGACTCATGAAGGAAACTCCCAAGTAAAGGAGACCAAGACTCTGGCCCTCATCCAGAAGTATGAAGCCTTCAAAATGGAGGAGTCTGAATCTGTAGAAACTATGTTCTCAAGATTTCAGATCCTAACTGCTGGGTTGAAGGTTCTGGATAAAGGCTACTCTACTTCTGACCATGTCAAGAAGATCATCAGAAGTTTGCCAACAAGATGGAGACTAATGGTGACAGCTTTGAAGCTCGCGAAGGATCTGAATAAGATCACTCTAGAGGAATTCATCAGTTCCTTAAGGAGTCACGAGATTGAGCTGGAGGAAGACGAGCCTCAGAAGAAAGGTTGCTTTAAAATCTAACAAATCTGTTAAAGCGTTGTAGGTTATTGAAGAGAGTTCTGAAGAATCTTCAAAAGAAGAAGATGAACTGTCTTTTTGTCCAAGAGGATTAATCAACTCTGGAAGCATAAGCAGAAGAAGTACAGAAACTTCAAAAGATCTGATCAGCGTGGTGATTCTTCTGGACATAAAAAAGATATAGTGTGCTATGAGTGCAAGGAGCCTGGCCACTATAAAAATGAATGTCCCAAACTTCTGAAGGAGAAACCCAGAAAGAAGTTTGACAGGAAGAAGAAAGTCTTAATGGCCACGTGGGATGATTCAGATGCTTCTGAATCTTCATCAGAATCAGAGGATGAGTGTGTTAATGTAGCACTAATGGCTGACGTGGAGGACCACGAAGAAGCTGATGAATCTGGATCAGATTCTGAGGAGGTATTTTCTGAACTCACTAGAGCAAAACTTTCTTAAAGTTTATCAGAAATTCGGTAAAGTTACAGCAGAATCATACTCAAATACAAGAAGCTTCACAGTTGTCTTGCATCTGAGAATGATCAGCTGAGGTCTGAAGTTGTTGAGCTTAAGGCAAACAATCTTAAAATAAAAAATGATTTAGAAAAAGCTCAGAAAACTGACTCAGATCCTATATCATGCTCTAAAAATATTTTAGAAGAGTATGACTATAGCTTTCAGAAGTTTTTAGGCAGAGGCATAGATAGAAGCAAGATGACTTCAATGATCTATGGCGTAAGCAGAAACAACAGAAAGGGAATTGGATATGAATCACCTTCTGGGAAGGATTTAAATCCAAAACCTATTGATAAACTGACCATTAAGTATTCTCCTCTATATACTCATTTCAAATTTGGTCATTTAAATGATATTAAACACACACGTTCTGATCAGAACAAACTTGTGTTTAATAAACCAAAATTTTATCAGAATAAGGATGCTTATAAGGGAAAGAAATTAAGAAAGAATTTCAAGCCTACTAACCCCAGAGGACCCAAGAAAATATGGGTACCTAAGGACAAAATGATTTTTGTTGCAGACATCCTTAGCAGCAAAGTTGAAACACCAATCATGGTACCTGGACTCTGGCTGCTCGCGTCACATGACGGGAAGAAGGTCTATGTTCCAAAGCCTAGAGCTTAGATCTGGAGGTGACGTGAAGTTTGGAGGGAACCAGAAGGGCAAGATAATTGGCTCTGGAACTATAGGTAATGGTAACCTCCCTTCCATTTCTAATGTTTTACTTGTTGAAGGATTAACACACAATCTATTGTCCATAAGTCAATTAAGTAACAATGATTATGACATAATCTTCAATCAAAAATTTTGTAAAGCTGTCAGTAAAAAAGATGGTTCAATCCTCTTTAATGGGAAAAGGAAGAACAACATTTACAAAATCAATCTTTCAGAACTTAAGGTTCAAAATGTAAAATGTCTTCTGTCTGTTAATGATGAGCAATGGGTCTGGCACAGAAGATTAGGTCATATTAGTATGAGACGTATATCTCAGATTAATAAACTCAATCTGGTCAGAGGACTTCCTCAGTTGAAGTTCAACTCAGATGCTTTTTGTGAAGCATGTCAGAAAGGAAAATTTTCAAAATCTTCTTTCAAAACAAAAAATGTTGTTTCAACCTCTAGACCATTAGAGTTGCTTCATATTGATCTGTTTGGACCAGTGAAAAATGCATCCATCAGAGGCAAGAAGTATGGATTAGTTATTGTTGATGACTACAGCAGGTGGACATGGGTAAAATTCCTGAAACACACGGATGAGTCTCATTCTGAATTCATTGACTTCTGCAAACAAGTCCAGAACGAACAAGAATTTAAAATTGTTAAAGTCAGAAGTGATCATGGTGGAGAATTTGAAAAAAAATATTTTGAAAAATATTTTAAAGAAATTGGCATTGCACATGATTTCTCCTGCCCTAGAACTCCTCAACAGAATGGAGTTGTAGAGAGGAAAAATAGAACATTGCAAGAAATGGCCAGAACCATGATCAACGAGACTAACATGGCAAAACATTTTTGGGCAGAAGCAGTGAATACAACTTGTTATATTCAGAACAGAGTGTCTGTAAGACCTCTTCTGGAGAAGACTCCTTATGAACTGTGGAGGAATAGAAATTCTAACATTTCTTATTTCCATCATTTTGGATGTGTATGTTTTATGTTGAATACTAAAGAGAATCTGAACAAGTTTGATTTTAAAGCTCAGAAGTGTTTCATGCTTGGATATTCTGAACGCTCTAAAGGCTACAGAGTATACAATACTGAGACACAGATTGTAGAGGAATCAATTCATGTTAGATTTGATGATAAGCTTGGCAATCAAAAGCCAAAGCAGCTTGAAATTTCTGCAGATAGAGAAGTCCTTCTCACAGACTTTGAAGAATCAGAGGCAGATAAAGCACAAGCAAAAGCACCAGAAGCAACGTCAGATGTTACTCCCTTGACTGCTCAGATGGATAGCTTGAGAATTTCTGAAGAATCAAATGTTAAAGGATCATCCAGAATCAAAGCTTCTCATCCAGAGGATATGATAATTGGAAAGAAGGATGACCCTATCAGAACAAGGTCATTTCTCAGGTCTTCTGGAACATCACTGTTTGGTTTGGTTTCCATCATTGAACCAACTTCTGTGGATGAGGCTCTGAACGATAATGATTGGATACTTGCTATGCAAGAAGAGCTTAATCAATTCACCAGAAATGACGTATGGGATCTGGTTCCAAGACCATAAGGTTTCAACATAATTGGAACAAAATGGGTCTTCAGAAACAAGCTGAACGAGCAAGGAGAAGTGATCAGAAACAAGGCTAGGCTGGTGGCTCAAGGATATAGTCAGCAAGAAGGTATAGATTATATAGAGACTTATGCTCCTGTGGCAAAGTTAGAATCTATTCGCTTGCTTATTTCTTTTGCTGCACAGAATAACATCACTCTGTATCAGATGGATGTTAAAAGTGCTTTCTTAAATGGATTAATTGAAGAGGAAGTGTATGTTCATCAAC